TGTGTGTGTGAACCATTGGCCTCTCGCGTGGAATCTGTAGCTTTATTGTGGTCAGACTGCTCAGATTCCTGGATGTCTGTCTAAAGCCACGGATCATTATGTGTTAACCGTCGCATGACACTGAAGCGCACCAGACCCCAGCTCTCCCAAAATAAGCCTGCATGTGTAATTCTTCCTCTGCTTTGCTTTTGTCAGAAATTACAGATTCTTTCTGTAATACTGGAGCCTGACCCGAATTTTCCATACGACAGGCACGCAAAGCTCTCTGAACATTTGCCTTGAAAAGCAGCAGTTCCGTATGACTGACCGCATGAGAGCCGCCTGCTAAAAGCAGAAAATAACCTGGTGTTTCTGAGACAAAAGTCATTGTTCTTCAGAGGATAATTGACACAGAGTCGCTCGCGCTGCCGTCTGAGAGAGTTACTGTAGTGGTGCTCCTCAAAACTCACACAGATTTACCACAACAACCTGCGATTCAGACACACACTCACACTAGTTCACACACACACACACACACACACACTCTCTTACCAGGACTTGACATAACGTTTCACTGTAAGTGTCTGAAGTGTGTGTGTCAGGTGTTGGTCAGTGATGCTCACCTGGTGGAAGCCCAGATAGTCGACTATGGTGGAGGAGGCGTAGAAGACCATCCCATCACTGCTGACGACCAGCGCAAAACCTGCTAAAGACTGAACACAACAAACACTCATCACTGACTGACCTGTGCTGTTAGGACTGTAATAAATATGTATCTGTGCATTTATCCATCCATCCATTCATCCATTCATTCACTCATTTATTCAGTCAGTGTGTGTAAAGGTTATTTCTGATATGAAGAAGTCAAACTCAAACTCAAACTTTGTGGCTGTATTTACTGTTGACTGTATCTGTGCTTCATGATCTTCATGGAAATCAGCACCTGCTGCTCGGAGCAGATCTGAGGTTAACAACAGAGACTTTACTCAGAAATTCAGCTCTGAAAGCGGATCATGAAAACTCTCTTTCTCTCTCTGTTGACATCCTGATGGCTTTTCCTCCTTTCTCACATTGTGACACAGACTTCAAAGCCACATCAAAAAGGTCACGAAAGAAACCAATTCAGAGAATTTCCACAGAAGCAGAGAGAAGGAGAATCTGGAATATTCCTCTCCTCTGGGATCAGTCTGTGATTCCTCAAGTCACGCAACACATTGTGCTGCTCAACGAGAGTCTCTGGAGCTCAGCGCTGCCTCGCGCTCGTCTGCTGTTAAGATGCTGCCGTCTGGTTTGTGTGAACTGTTCAAAACTAGTCAATCAACCTACTAGTTAAATCCAACTGTTCTAGTTCAACAGAATCAATGACACGGTTACTGTTGTCATCGGTGCACATGTGTACGGACACACACACACACACACATTCTCTCTCTCACACACACACACACACACACACACACTCTCTCACA